GGGGGGAGAGAGAGAAAGAGAGAGAGAGAGAGAGAGAGAGAGAGAGAGAGAGGGGGAGGGGGGGGGTAGCAGGACGTGGAGACGAAAGCAGGCGACAGAACATGGTAAGAGTGCAGGAATGGTGAAAGGTTAACATTTTCAGGAAAGAAAAGTTTCCACTTGGTTTCGAACCTGGGACCTATTGAATGAGAGGCGAACACCATACCTATTGTCCACGAGAGCCCCCGTGGTCTCCGTGTGTGTTACTGGAAAAATAGGCGGCACAAGAGCCAGGGGAAGGCCAAGCAAAACGAATGTAAAGAATTTAAAATTTTGTCGCTTTTAAGCACAAGAGGGCTCTCCCGAAAAATGCTTTTTGAGAAAATCGAAGGTAAAGTTTATGGACCCTCGTTCAGTTTCTTTAAAAGACAAGGAGAGTTTTCTCTATAACCAAACAAATATACACACCAATGAAACCAAACTTCTATAGGTAGGGCAATGCCCACTTTTGGTGTAGGTCAAGGTTTCTGGAAACCACCAATATCTGGGTTAGCCCGCTTGTCCTTAGAGCAACCATTTTATCAGACACCAGGTGGCCCTCACTTCCGTCCACCACAAATATCTGGACATGTACTCTAGGTACATGGGTACTCTGCTCACCTAAAGCCAGGCAAAAGAACAGAGCTTTGAGGAGACAGCAAAGAGGTTTGGTAGACACCACCCGCACCACCCACACAAACCTGACGAGCGGCTCATTCCGCCACGTCGCTGCAAGCTCTTCCCTGTTGTGTAACACGCTGTCAAACTTTGACAAACGACATTTTCTCTTTGGGATTTCTCAGCTGACTACAACTACTACTATACAACATGGCTCTGTTCGTCTGTGCAGACAGTCAGTCTAGCATAAGATGGTCTCAAGGTTGTCTCCTTTCAGCTTCTTTCATGGCTAATTCTTCCTATGTTTGAAGCGCAGATTCTGTGGCAGTGCTTGCATGTCAGTGACGTAGATCGAAGCTGCTACTACTACCACAACAGCTACTATGATAACAACAACTACTATGATAACAACAACAACAACAACAACAACCACAATACTTACAGGACATGGCGACGAAGCTGAGACACAGGAGAAGAACCAAGTATTTCATGATGTCAGATGTGCGGGTCGTTAGTTCCTGGCTTGACAGTTGTTGAATCTTTCCACATCTGCAGGTGCCGACTCCTGGGTTTTTATATCACACAGCTGCTGAGTACCTACTCGGATCCTGAACTATTCGATTATATATTCGTATTTATCCGTATCCGATTAACTGCGTCCAGATACATGCCCATCTGTTAGATCGACAGCTTGTTCACTTTTGCCTGATTGCGTTGAAAAGATTCTCGCACATTTAAGACGTTACCTTAGCCCAAGAAAACGTTAGATCAACATGGCACTTCTACGGGCCAGCGACCATACAAAAATAGTTTGCCCCAAAATCTGGATCCAGTAATAAAAGAGGTTTTTTTCTTCGGGCCCCATTACATGTGAAATCTACTCTTTGGATGCACACACAGTATCACTAAAATAAATGGCTTACAGTAACCTTGCCAACAAATAAATGGCTTACAGTAACCTTGCCAACAACTTGCTCATTTTGAGACAGTGACACCACCCTGCCCCCACATTTCAGTGTAAGCTTGAAGATTTCATCCCTCGTATGTCAAGAGACGTCTCCATGTGAGTCTCAAAAATTGCTCGCCCCGTCTCTGGAATTGTGTTTCTTGGGCGAACTTAAAATGCTTTAGGTGTATGCTGTAAATCCCCTATTATTTGTTTTTATCAACTTTAGGCTTACATCAAAGAAAACGTTTACAGTGACTGTTATGAATGGGCTCTGAGATTCTGTTAATCATCCACATTGGGGGGCTTATTTCGGCGACATAATAGCTGGAGAAAAGCTTACCGTCCTCCAAAACATTATTTGGGTTACCCTTTTCTCGCATCAGTTGTTGATCTTGTGAGTTGAAAAGCTTGTTTCGGTTTCTCAGGAGGTGTCTTTGTCGTTCAGGATAAGTTTCTCCTATCTGATCTCTCTGCTCGGCGACATTACACCACTACCATAGCTTGTTCACTTTCGTGACCGCGCTTAAAACATGATCAAAATGAAATTGCTGTGTGTAATTTTCTCGGATTCTTGTATACGGGTCTAAAAGTTGGATGACCAAGAGAATCTAAAAGCCCTTTCATCAAGGTCACTGCAAACTGAGGTCCCGACACGTTTTCTTTTGATGTAAGCCTAAAGCCAGGCAAAAAAATAATAGGGGATTTACAGCATGCATCTAAACCATTTACAAGCTGACATGATAGTTTCCTTAACACCACACTTTAACGTTTGCCCAAGAAACACGATTCAAGAGACGGGGTGAGTATTTTGGAGCACGTGGAGACGTCTAGACAGCCGGGGATGACATCTATAAGTTAACACAAATGTGGGGGCAGGGTGATGTTGTTATCTCAAATTGAACAATATGGCGGCCAGGTGACTTTGGTTTTCAAGGATTTGACACCGGTTGCATATTGTTGGTACAGATTTCACTATTGAAGTAATAAGCTGTCTCTTTGTGTCCGTTGAGATGTTTGGATGAGATAGGAGGGGTGCGAGCTGGTAGGTAACAGCGTTGGCTTTTTGAGTTCGCATTTCTTTAACTCTGTCTATTGACCCGTTTTCAGAAAAAGTGCTGGCGCGATATTTAAACTCCTTCACCTGTTTCAGTAGTCTCACTATTGTCATGTGTGGTTAAGGGACTATGGTTTTGGTTCACTTTCACAACTTCTGTTTTTGATGTGCTTATTTTCCTGTCAAATTTCTCGCAGCTGTTGTTGAGTTCGGTAGTGTGATTTTGGAGGTTTTGTTAGTCATGATGAATAAGACATTGGTCGTCTGCAAATAGAAGTTCATTTAGGCTTTCTGGGCTTTGGTTTGCGTCTTGCGTTATTGTGTCCATAATAGATTATGAAAAGGAGGGGAGATAGAACCCATCGCTGTATTACTACTACTACTACTACTACTACTACTACTACTACTACTACTACTACTACTA